GGGAGCTCGGCGACATCAGCTGGTAGCTCAACGGAAGCTGTGGTCGACCAGAGGCACCTGGTGGTCGACCAGAGGCACTGGTGGTCGACCAGAGAGCACCCGGTGGTGTCCCGGTCGACCTGGTAACCTGCTCGACGAGTTCTGCGGAGGCACGCGAACGTCGTCAAGGTTGCAATGACGAAGGCGACTTCGGGCTGGTATCCCGAAGTCGATGTGGCTTGTCAGGCGGAGAAAACAGCCGATGGATGCACAGCAATGCAAGTCGGGCCAATCGTCTGCGTGCACCTGCGAGCGTGCGCACTGCTGTCTTCTACGGGGCAACGCTGGACAGCCGCATTGCTGCAGCGTTGGCACGTCGTCGACCTGCAGTGTTGGCAGGTCGCCTTTCTGCAGTGCTGGCGCGGCTCCTCTACGCAATGCTGGCAGGCGGTCGACCGAGCTGTGCTGGCGGTCGACCAGGCTAGCTGCAGGGTTGCTAGGTGCCTGATGTAGTCATTCTGTCATTGCTTGTTCAATCATTCTGTAATTCCAACTTTGCTAGTGGAAACTCTTGCCAACCTTACACGTGAATGTGCAAGTGCTAAGGAACCAAGCAAAGCTACAATCACTCCTAGTAGTTCGTGCCAACCCCCGTAGTCTAGCTCACTACCATTGTAGAGTGACTCTCTGCACATGCCAAGTAGCAGCTTGCGCATGGTGTTCTGGAGGGTCCTGTTTGTTATCCTTTCTGCCATGCCTTGCTGTTGATGGGCATAGGGAAGCGAGATGAGTCGCTTGAACCTTTGTGATTGATATTCCCCTCCCCCATCTGACTGGAAAGTTTTTTGCTTCACTCCTGATTCCCGTTCTGCCACTTGAAGCCAGGCGACGAAGGCTTTGAAGGATATTGATCCACCGCATCGAAGTAGTCTGTCGCGTAGACCACGACAGCGACTGATATACGCCATCCCTATTTCGTCGGGTTTCATTTCCATTGTTATCAGTTGTGCCATGAGAAGACTCTGATTAACGATGTTGGTTGCTTGATACAGGTTCTTCAGGTGGTTGTACGCGAGTTGGCGGAGTTGCCGCATCCACGATAAGATCGGATATTCTGTTGCTCGTTTGGTGTTATGTTTCGCAGGATTTTTGTGTACGCCATTAGCAACTGATACGTGTACTGCTGCTTGGCGTACTGTGTCCCGTGCGTTGGATATGGCAGGGAACCGTCGAAGAATCCAAGGATTTGAGCGCCTTCCATCATCAGCTCGAACACAAACGACCAGGTTTAGAATTCTTTGCCATTGAACGGTGTTGACGTTTGCAGTTTCAGGACGTGTGCAAACTGCGACTGTATTTGAAGCGCATCCAATGTCTTTTCTTGTCCAGATGGAGGTTGGTTTGGCATGAAGCTGATGGAGCCACGTTGAGGCTCATACGGTGCAAAGGTAGGTTGTTGCTTATTTCTGCGCGCATAGGATGAGCCGTCAAGACTCATGGGGGTAACGCCGTTGTTGTTGTCGATCTGTTTGATTGCGCAGGTGCTGCTTGCTGGTGTTGTTCCTAAAACGACATGAAGGAGAAGAATTTCTCCATCATGCTTGGATTGAAGCTGGGTGCTTGGTTCGCAGAAGTTTCAGTAGATTCGGCAGCAGGTCTTGTCGCCATACCTCCCTCTGTCTGCAGTCCAGAGGCTGGAGGTGGAGTAGGAGTAGTGCCGGGAGATCCGTTAGAGGAGCTTATCTCTTTTTGCGTTGCCATGTCTTGTATTGTTGTAGGAGTTTAAACAGAGTTGAGTCTTGCCCTGTTTGTTCTCATACCATGTTGGGCTGAGACTCTGGGTAGGAGTGATGTAATTGCAAAAAAGATATCTTAGTGAACTGGTTGAACCACCTTGAGAATATGAAGGGGTGCAAATAACTGTTGCTGTTGTTGTTGCGGTTCGATACAGCGACGACTCGGGCAACTGCTCAATAACGAGTCAGTTGTGTGTCCATTCTATCGCGTTGCCTTTCGGCAAGTCAAAGGTCGCTGACTTTTGACCTTCGTGTCAAAATACTAGCTAAGGATAAGAAGCCATGGCTAGGGTTTAGGGTAGAACGAGAGGATAACGAGAAGGTTGCCAAAGCAAAAAGGGGTTGCACTATGAAGTGACAAGTACAAATAGATAAGAAACATGCAACGAGTGGTGCACCACCAAACAGGACAGCTAAGTAACTACACTACAGCTAGAACTACATGCACTTATACAGAAATATTCTGACACACCCCCTAAGTGCATGCAGGAATAGCCATATGCAGAGCACCCCTTGAAGTGGTACACCTTGCAGGGCGCAGTAGAAGAAGAGGGCAAGGGAGGAGGGGGGACTATGAGAGGAGAGGAGGTAGGAGGCGGCAGCTGAAGCTGCTGGCACACGGGCGACTGGAGCAACTGGCACACAGGCTACCAAAGCAAGGGCATCCGGACTACTGGAGTAACTGGCTCCGCGGCTACTCGAGCGGCTGGAGCAACTGACCCGCGGGCAACTGGAGCAACGGGCTCACGGGCTACCGGAGCAAGGGCATCCGGACTACTGGAGCTGCTGGCTTCATGGCGGCTACCTCCTTGCAACCTCCCCCCATTGTCCCACACCCCCATGAGTTCCACACCCCTCGACATCCCTAGCGCCACTCCCTCGGCTCCCACACACCCTCCCCGCAGCGGCAGCTGCAGCAGTGGGAGAGAGAGGAGGAGGAGGAGCAGCATATTACTCACCCCCCCCACCCCCACACCCTCCCCCCCACGGCTGCACGCGCAGCAGGGGGATGGAGGAGAAGGGGGGGCGGGTGGGGATGGGGTAGGAGCTGCGCGGGCGACAGCAGGGGCAGTGCAGGTGCGCGCGCGGCAGGGCAGGTGCGCGCGGGCCTGGCGCAGGCTGTACGGGCTGCACGCGGGCCTGGCGCGGGCTGTACGGGCCGCGCGCGGGCCTGGCGCGGGCTGCACAGGCAGCGCGCGGGCCTGGCGCGGGCTGTACGGGCCGCGCACGGTCCTGGCGCGAGTCGTACGGGCTGCGCAAGGCAGGGCAAAAACCGTCGCGCGTCTCGGGGCACGCGACGGGCAGGAAATCGCCGCACGCCTGGGGCACGCGACGAGCAGAAAATCGACACGCGCCCCGGACGCGCGACGGGCAGAAAACCGACGCACACCACGGGCGCGCGATGGGCAGAAGCTAACGGTGGGCCCATGAGGGGAAAACGCGCGCAGGAACAAACAGATCTGAGACCATGTCAAAATACTAGCTAAGGCTAAGAAGCCATGGCTAGGGTTTAGGCTAGAACGAGAGGATAACGAGAAGGTTGCCAGAGCAAAAAGGGGTTGCACTATGAAGTGACAAGTACAAATAGATAAGAAATATGCAAGGAGTGGTGCACCACCAAACATGACAACTAAGTAACTCCATTACAGCTAGAACTACATGCACTTATACAGAAATATATATATAATATATTCTGGTACTTCGCTCAACCTCTTGCTGGTACATTTTGTCAACCTCTTCGGTTGACTCGCTGTTGCTTCACTGTAGTTTGACTCGCTTGCAGTTCGGTACTGCGACACATCAGAAGCGTAAATTACATGTTTCCAACATTTGCTACTGGCAAGAATGCCCAGTACTTTTCATTTTACTATTCGTAACACACCCCATATTGCCAAAGCTTTGATAGGGAGAAACATTTTGATACCACTAGATATTGCACCTGGGCTGATTCGATAATTCAGGTTCATTTTTATATGTGGCTGAAATGAAATTGTTATACCGTATGCCTCCACTAACTGTAATAATGTCATTGTAGACGTTTGTGTCGTTTCGACTTCCACCGTTTCATCTCCCAACTTCCCAACCCAAACCGCTCTCATGTCACAAGGACAACCTAATTTCCTCGGCCGCCATTCCCGCGTTTTGTCAATCGCGCAACTGCGCTGCATGCACATCGCTAAGCCACTTAGCCAGGAAGCAATTGCACCCACCAGCCGACATGAAGCTCGCATGTAACCGGGCCGCTACGACTCGCAGCTTGCTGCATCCTCCGACACCTCCTGATCTCCTCACCTCACGCACCTCGTCGACTTCCGCCCCTCCGAGCCGCCTCTTTGCAGCCTGCCTTCTCCGCTTCCCTCCGCGTATCATGGATACACCTACTTTTGGATTTGAGGGGTTAGCTTTCTTGGAATTGCCGCTCGGGATCTCACCCGCCTGTCGCTCGCTCCGCGACTCGGAGTCATCTACAGGTCTCCGCTGCCTCGATTGCATCCTTTCGCGTGCGCTCGGTTCACATGCCTCGCTCGCTCGGTTTCACATCGATTTGAGGCAATTCCGAAAGGGAGCAACGGCTCCATCTGCATATATATCTTCCGGAACGTCCGGAAGTATTCAGATTGTCGATATTCCCAAGCTTCTGCCTCACGGTGGCCCTCTCCCCACGGTGGATCATCCACCGTACCTCGGCCTCTCCTCCCAGCCGCTGTTCCCCGTCTGCTGCACACGTGCTGTTCTCGTCAGGAAACACGGAAGCAGGAGTTATTAGTAGCGCTGTCCGTTCCTCTAGCCTCTGACCCAGCCAGCCTGTGCCAGTGCGCCATACTAGCAAGCAGCGCCCGACTAAATCCACCTCAGGCCCGGCCTTGATACGCTACCACGATTGTGCTTGTCACATGACAGCACCACCAGTGGAACGAGTCACTCCAGCGCTAAAACAAGCGATATTCTTCTCCAATTACATGTGACATCTGGCACCAAGACTCTTGGAGAAGTAGTAATCACTACTTCCTGTAGTACAGCTCCATCCTCCGTTGATTGTACGCGGATCTTCCCCATCCCAGCCGCCCCTTCCCGCGCGCCTTGCGCGTTCCCCGTGCGACCATGGGCGGCCCGCAGCTCTCCCCCGTGACCCTGTACTGGCGCGCGCTTGCGGTGGCGCTGATGCTCGCGGGGATGGTGGGGGTGGCTTTCTGGGGGGTGGAGGGGCGCGGGGGAGCCGGGGTCATGCAGCAAGGAGGGGATTATGGGGGAGACATATGGGCGGGGTTGAGGCAGCAGGTGGTGCGTCGGACGTTACGCATGGAGCAGAAAGGGGAAGATAAGGGAGAAGGGGAGAGAGGGGAGCAGCGGAGGAGCAGTGATGGTGTGGAAGGATGGAATACTAGCCACACTGGAGCAGAGGTTGTTGGTGCTGGCAACATTAAAGCTATCCCACACGACTCAACTTCTTCCGCTTATGCTGCTGCTGCTGCTGCTGCCGATGCTGCTGCTGCTGCTGCTGCTGCTGCTGATGCTGCCAACGATGCTGCTGCTGCTGCTACTGACAGTGCTTCAGCTGGCGTTGCTGATGCTGGCAACGGCGATGGCGACACACCCGAGGCAGCAGCAGTGGCCAGCAGCACTGGCGGCTCTGATCATGCTCTCCATCGGGTGTTAGCGGCAGGTAGTGCGGTTGAGGCAGCATCACCGTCACTACCACTGCCTTCGCCCTCTCTCGGACAACAATCGCAGCAAGCCAACAACCTCCCACCAGGTGACCAGTCGCTCTGCCTCCCACAATCCCTTCTCCTTTCATCCATGTTCCCTCTTCCCTTCGTCCTCCTCCCTTGTGCCACCTTCCCTTCTCCCTCTTCTCTCCTTCCACACACTTATCCCTCCTTCTCCTGGTGTTCCACCTCTCTCCACACTCAACCACGGTCTTTCACACAGTCCAACTTCCTTTCAAACTTCTGTCACCATACGCTTTGCCCCAAGCCTTCCTCCTTCCGTTTTCTTTTCTCTTCAACATTCCTCTCCGTCGTTCTCCTGCCCGGCACCTTCCACGTGCTCCACTCTCTTTTTCTGTCTCGCCTCTTCTCCATGCCCTCATCCCTTCCCACCTCTTGGAGCAGAGTGCAGGGACGACAGGGCCACAGCAGCAGTGACAGTGGAGACCGTCCGCCATGAATATCAATTTCCAGATTCCGCGTCCTTGCTCTCCCTCTATCCTTACGAGGTACTTCCTACCCTCTATGGTTTAACACTGCCACCTCCAAACACGCACGTTTCCTCTTCTCGCATTGATTTCTCTCCTGAAGATCTCATCTTGGTCTCCTCAACCCCACTCTTTGCCACATCCATTCCACCATACCCTCCCTCACCTTCCTCCTCCCCCTCCCTCTCCCCCTACTTTGACCTCAACCTTCCACATGCAGGTCACGGTGAGCAACAAGTGTCGGCAACGTGCCGTAGCTGCAATGAGCGTCAGCATGATGGGCGTGCAGCTGCGCTCCTACATGCTTCTGCCGCGCCTCCGGCCCTTACAGAGCAACTCCCTCCAGTCCATGAGTGTCTTCAAGGTCTGCCTCCCTTGATCCCCCTCTCTCTCTCTCTCTCTCTCTCTCTCTCTCTCTCTCTCTCTCTCTCTCTCTCTCTCTCTCTCTCTCTCTCTCGCTCTCTCTCGCTCTCTCTCTCGCTCTCTCTCTCTCTCTCTCTCTCTCTCTCTCTCTCTCTCTCTCTCTCTCTCTCTCTCTCTCTCTCTCTCGCTCTCTCTCTCTCTCTCTCTCTCTCTCGCTCTCTCTCGCTCTCTCTCTCTCTCTCTCTCTCTCGCTCTCTCTCTTTCCAACTCTTCCAGAGATCTCCATCCACTCTTACATTGCGATTTCGTTTCCTAACTTCAACGTTCGGAATTTTCACTTGCAGGTACTCCCTCCACTAGGCGCTCCTGATGATGCAATGATCATCCCGCCAGGGGGTTCCTTCAAGTTTAACTGCACTGTCATGCTAGACCTCGCCTTTGCGCTCTTTCTTTACAACGCCTCATTTTCCCCATTGTAACTGGTAGTTTGTGCTCCATGTGTGGCTTGACTAATCATGTTTTCATTGTGTCGCGTTCATAGTTGGAACTCCCAAGTTGTGTGCTCATGTTTTGTTTCCAAGTTCTCCTGGTGTAATTCCTGCTCAACCAAAAAATACACTTTACGTGAATTGGTTGGTTGTGATGAACTGATTGTCGAACTGTTATGTTGCTTGTGCTGTGTAGGCTGTAGTGGGGTAGCCCAAATAGGGTACAACCAGGCCTCTGGTTAACAGGGTGATTCACCCTTATGACCCTTACTATAAGGCTGGATTTGACTATGCACCCTTTTTTATCGGAGTGGTCGTTCTTTTTACCCTTACAAAAAAAAGTGTTCGATTATACTACACTGATATTTCAGAGCTAGGTTGTAAGGAATTACAATTCCTTACTGTACTCGCACTTTAGCGAGTACATCCCGAAGGTGTCGCGACGAACCTGTTCGGCCTATTTCGTCGCACCGAACCACCCCCGAGTCGGCCTCCGCTCCAACCGCAACCATCACCAAGCCATCCCATCCCGAACCCTCGCCTAGCTAGGATTTCCCCTATTTAGTCGTGCCTTTCTCATTGTATCGTCATTCAGTAGTCAACCATTCTCGTTATTCGATATCTGCGCACTCTGACAAGTTCATTCATAACATCTGGTATCAGAGCTACTTTCCTAGCCTACCCCGCTTTTTAGAGTGTAATACCCCTCGGGGGGGGGGGACGAGTAAGGATGCCTTGGGGTCCAGGAGTTGCGTAGGCCGGCCAAGAGAACTAGTTAGTTGCTCTTCGCGGCCATGGTTTTACGGGGCACTCCTTCGGCACCGCCAGATCCTTAGCTCGAACGGTCGCGATCGACCGTGACCTCCCTCCCCCCGGGCGACGGGCAGCAGTAGCTGTCGCGACGTTTTTGTAAGTAATTTCCGCTGCGATTTCCCGACGATTTCGTAGGTCTATTCGTGTGGCAGTTGGCGTCAGCGGATCTGCGTCGGCATCTGCATGAACGGCCTCGACTTCGTCAGCAAATGTGGCAGCTGGCGTCGGCAGATCTACGTCACCAGTGCGCGGAGATTTCGGGATCGTCTGCACGCGGCAAGTGGCGCCGGTGGCTCGCCGTCATCTTGTGCGCGAGATTCTCGGGAGAATCTTCGGCAGCTGAAGACAACGGGCCTGCGTCAGCATGGGCGACAATTTCGGAGGTTTCTACTGTGAAGAAAAGGGCAGCTCGAAGGACTCGCCAGGCGCAAATGGAGTTTTGCGTCAGAAGACCCCGACGGCTGGGAGAGATAGACGCTCAAGCCGCCCGAATTTAGCGGGGGTTGAGTTTCATCCCGTCCGACCGGATAGTACGGCGCTTACCGTACTGGCGGACGAGTCGTCGACGATTTTCGGCAGAAGTGCTTGTGGACAGACGGGAACTTTGGACCCGCCGACACTTACGGGCTGCAACAGACAACGACGTGGCTAAATCGCACTTAGCAGGAGTGGGGCGCAGGCGCGAGGGCGTATCGGAACTGAACACCCGAAAAACACTCGTTTGACGCTGCGTGCCTGGAGCTGCTTGCCAGCTGTTCGACAGTTTCGAGATCGGTTTCCCCGTTCAAGGAAGCCGTTTTCGGGGACAGCCGCAACAGCCCACGATTAAACGGTGTTCAACGTGCCACCCCGACAATTTCGGAGTGTGGTGCAGGCCGCCGGGACACGCGTGAAGAAACTGCCCAACGGCTAAGCGGGGGTTGAAGAACGTCGTGGGGAGCAGATAAAAGCCGGTGGAACCGATCTGCGGCCCTACTTCGCCCGAACCTCACCATCCCCACCGATTACTGGTTCCGACTCATGCAGTCGACCTTATTCGGATGAATAACGGGGGTGAACACGAGCCTACCCTGCGCTGGTTAAAAGCACCTGGTTTGGTGCCCGTTCGACAGCTGTACAGAAAAGACAAAAAAGGGGAGTTGCGGCACTGTTCTACTCCGACAAAAGCGGGCTGGGTGAAACAGCACGCGAAAAAATCGGGGCGCCGCAGGACAACACTGGTGCAGTTTACAGGTTTCCTCTGACCCGGGCGTCTACACGAGGTGACGGCGCAGCGGCGAAGCTGGGACCGGAAGCTGTGGAATTTTAGTGGCGCGACGGGCACGGTGGGCTGCGAAGCGGTTGGGACTGATTTCCTTTTAACTAAGGCAACCCCGACTCCGATAGTCTTTTCTTCTCCACCGTGGCTGGGGTTCGCGCAGGGCAACACCGACAATACCCCATCCGACAAAAGCGGACGCTGGGTGAACGGCGGGAAGTGGAATGTTCGGGGGGTGAAACGACAAAAAAAAATATGAAGCTGAGGGTGTTTCTTCGTTTCTTGGAGTGCGGTTGAGTCGCTGGGGGACTTCGCCTGAAGGGCGCTTTTCGAAGTTGCCTGGCAAGAAACACAGCGGCAGGGATACCTAGGACCCCTGGTGTTTAAACGCACACCTCGGGAAATTCTTCAAAAAAGGGAAGCGTGGGAGCAGTCGTAGCTTCGGGAACTTATCGGCCGGCGACGAGCGATGGGTGAAACATCTGCAAAGCGCTGGTGGGAGAAATAGGTTGTTTTGTTAAGCGACATCAGCGGGAGCGGTTTTCGACTTCGGAGTCAACGGCGTTGATGCTACTAGGTTCCGTGAAATTCGGTCTCGGAAGACCCAGGGCAGTCCCCGGTTCTCGATTGAACCCACATGCTGGGGTCGGGTAAACCGAAGGAAACTGATGGTGACCGGGTGGGCGGCTATAGTACGACCGAAGATTTCGGAGGCGAACTGCACCTGCAACTGCGGATTTTCGGGGTTTGATTTGACCGACATTTTCGGAGTTCTACGTGGGGACTTACAGGGTTACGGCGGGAAGCGCCGACAATTTCGTGGGATTTCATTGGAGCTTGGTTAAACGCGAGCGGCAACGACGGCGGGCAACAGCGCGAGATTTACACAGAGTTTTCAAGGGGTACGAACGACTTACGACGAACTGAAGAAGGCGGCAGCAACAGTGGAAGGGGGGAGAGACAGCTGTAATTTTTACATCTCTGCCCGGGAGTCATCGGCGGATTGCGACAAAATGCTCGGCGAGTATGGACAAACCCGCCGGAGGTGCTGACATCATCTGACACTGATTCGTGTTCGACAATATTTTTCGGAGTGACATTCGCTACGGTTACTGCTTCGACGACCATCGCCGACTCTCGTCTTCACCTTCGCGACCAATCGCCTTCACGATCGAAATTTCGTAACACTCCCGATTTTACGGCCAGAAGAATTTCGGGATAGTCGCTCCAACTCTACTAACGACACTTCGCCCAACTCGACCCGCCCACGACAAACGATTTAATTTCAGCCACGTCAAGTGCTGCCAGCTGCAACTGCCGAAGATACTGCAGGATTCTGGCACATGACGACAGCACAGGTTCAGTTCGAGCAACGACGAATTTTCAACGGAGTTTCTGGTCTACTTTCGCTGGTTCGCCCTTGAAAATTTCGGGGCACTTAACACATGGTTTCCTAATCGAGTTTCCACACCGACGCAGTTTTCACCTGGACTTCTACGTTCAACGTTCGTTTTCAGTGGGAATTAACACCTGGTTTTGTTTGTTTTCACCTCGGCGCAGCATCGGGAACTTTTCTGGTGTGTTTTCTTGAAGGGGGGGAGAAAGTGCGCTGCACTGTTTTCCTTCGGCGTTTTCTCTTCGGTACTGTTCTGACATTGCCAGAATGCAGCAGCACGGCAGACGGTCAAGATCGCGACAACAAAATCAACGTTCCTGAGCAGTCGCGCTTGAATTTCGCGTCAGACTACTCCCTCCAAAATCGCGTCAGCCTTCGACCGTCAGATCGAACATCGATTTCATCAACGGCCCTGTTTCCAACCTTCAATTCGAATTGGTCCAGTTCATCCGCAACCGTCAGATCGAGATCTAACTACATCTACGGTTCATATTCCAACCTTTCTTCAAAATTGTTGAAGACAATTCTGTCAGAATATTATGCTCTAGCCTGCAGTGGGGTACTCTATAGCGAGTACAACCCAATTAGGGTTTCCTATATGTATGCCAACTGCTGCTAGTGCAAACCCTCCTTTCTTCATTCTTACTTTCTACAGCTAGTTCTGACATGCTATCAGAGCAGGTCGACCCTCCTGGGTCGATCCTGTGGGTGGGCCCACCACCTAAGCCTTCCGCTGCTACTGCTACTGCTACTGCTACTCTGTGTGTCGCACGCCTCGTGGCGTGCGACGGATTTTTCATCCCGCCGTGCGCCCCGAGGTGTGCGGCGGTTTTCTGCCCGCCGTGCGCCCCGAGGCGCGCGGCGGTTCTCTGCCCGCCGTGCGCCCCGAGGCGCGCGGCGGTTTTCTCCCCCCGTCGCCCGCCGAAGCGCCCCCGGGGACCCGCGCGTCGCCCCCGTCGCCCGTGCGCGGCCCGTACTGCACGAGCGCGGCCCGTACAGGCTGCGCCAGGCCCGCGCGCGGCCTGTCCTGCACGCGCGCGGCCCGTACGGGCTGCGCCAGGCCTGCGCGCGGCCCGTACAACCCGCGCGCTGCTCGTACGGGCTGCGCCAGGCCCGCGCGCGGCCCGTACGGCCTGCGCCAGGCCCGCGCGCGGCCCGTACGGGCTGCGCCTGGCCCGCGCGCGCCTCGGGCCGCCTGCGCGCGGTTCGTACGGGCTGCGCCTGGCCCGCGGGCGCCCGGTCTCCTCTCCCACTGAGCTGCACGCCGTCCCTCGCGCTTCTGACGGCGCCCCACCCCTGCTGCTGCCCGTACTCCTGAATTAGGGTTTGGGGGTGGAGCGTATGGGGGTGCCGTCTCTGTCAGCCATCCACTGCTCCTCCTCCTCCTCCGTCTCCCACTGCTGCAGCTGCTGCTCAGGGGGGTGGGTGTGTGGGAGCCGAGGGTTTAGGGTTTAAGGGGGGTGCCATGGGAGTGGAGCTAGGGTTTCAGCAGGGGGTGTGTGTTGGGGGGTGTGGGACAGTTGG